GTCTTCTGGATAAAATCACTTGCAGTCTGGAAATCCACTAAGAAAGGGCCTTGAATGATTCTCCCAACTGAGCCTACTCAGCAGCCTTTGATTTTCAATGTGAAGACAAGAGAAACGGGAGTGCTGTGCGGAAGCATCCTTTATCCATTCATGGGCCCCGGAACCGCGTGATGGGAGGGGCTTGAGATCGTTCACGTGATCCCCGCAGAAACCCCAGATCGTCTCCCCCAAGAGAAGCATTTCCCTGGGGAAATCAGGGTGCAGGGGAAGACATCGCCTCTGGGGTCATCTGTGTGATGACACATATCCACCCTGACAGCCCCAAATGCTTGTAAATGTCAAACCCCGGGGTGTTTGGAGCTCCGAGGATGGATCTTGTGGATTGCACGGCCCCTTTCGGTTCTCCTCGGGCCTGCGACACAGGCAAAGTCACCCGGCTTCCCAGCCAGATTTATTTTCGAGGGCTTAGCTCGGAGGGACGATGGAAGTGTTTCAGCATGAGTGCTCCTGAGCACGAGGGAAAGAGCCCCCGGTGCATCTCTCAGACATCGGCGAGGATTCTGTGGAGTCCATTTTTTCAGGAACAAAATTGCATTTCATGAAGCCGTCCCTTTTCTGTTTCATCTGTCAAGTAGGTTTGCTGAGAATAATTTAAATTTCATGCAGCAGCGACGCAGGGCACTGGGGCAGCCCACAGACAAGCCTCAGCAGCACCCTCCCCCGGGGCCTCAACCATCCGGAGCCCAGACAGCCCGTGGCGGTGGGGCAGGCATCCGGCGCCCACCTCGAGCTGCACCAGCCTGTCTGGGGACAGTCCTGTGAGCCTTTCTTCAGCCACCAGCACCAGCCACCAGGAGGACAGGTTTCCCCCCAGATGTATAGATACTCGAGTAGACCCAATCTCTGGTTTAACTTTCTAAAATTAACTTTTGATGAGTGCTTACCAGATGGTGGGTAGTGTTTTAAGCTTTTCTACACATAGCAATTTCACTAATCCACACAACATCCCTAGGAGGAAGATACTGTCATTATTCTCAATTTATAGCCAAAGACACTGAGGCACAGGGACATACTCAGCTTGCAAGTGGCGGAGCTAGGATTCAATCCCACTTCTGTCCCAGTCGAGAGCTTGCTGCTCTCCCCAGCTGTGAAATGCTGACTCGACATAACCTGTGGCTGAAATGTCCCCACCTGTATACCACAGGAGGGAAGCCTGCCCATTTTCTGGCCTGAAATCCCTTGTTTGCTATCAGCTAGGTGGATGAGAAGATGGAAAAGTTACCATAACAATGCGGCAATCACGGTTACCATGGTGAATGCGTTCTGCCAGCAGCCTGGGGTGGGGAGAGGAGCTGGCCCAGGCTGGTTCTGATTCTAATTTGCTAGGTGACCTCCGCAAGGTGCGTTTTCTTTGGGTCTCACTATTTTGACCTGCAAAAGGAGCAGGCTGGACAGTGTGGTCGCTCTGCTCCACTGGGGCTTTGGGACTTGTCCCAAGGTTTGTAAGCCGATTCAGGCCCCAGGGAAGCAGTTTATTGGTCTGAGCAACGGTGTGTGTGTGTGGGGGGGTGGTGGGGTGGGGTGGAGTAGCCCACCAGGCCCTCCCAGTCTTCCCTGGCTCAGGAGTCTGTGCTTGTCCAACTAGCCTTTCATCAAAACGCGCAAGGAATCTGCAGGCCACAGACAAATGAAGAAACAGAAAAAGCAACTCAGGCCTGAAGGCAGCGGTGACAGAAAGAATTGTCATCACCTCTCTGACCAGCCGCTGGGAGCACAGCCAGCCTCCCCACCCTGAGGAGCTGCGACAGAGCTGGCAGGCCCCAGAGCCGGGATGACTGGTGTCCAGGCCCATGGGGCTGGGTGGGGCAGGGTGGTGGCATAGGATGTGTGTGGGGGGGTTGCCCAGCCCCCAGAGCATGTGATGTCCCCACCCTGCTCCATGCCCAGCCAAGGGGGACACTAAGGCCTGACAGCGCTGACATTTGCCCCCAACCCCCTTCCTTTCCCTGAGTCTCCAGGGGTGGCTCTGGCCTAAGCGTGGCACTAGACCCCTCCCCAAGGAAGCCTGGCAGATACAGTTAAGCAGCCTTGATCACAGTCCGGTTAGCAGGGACATCCAGCTCTGTTCCTGGCATCTACATGGCTCCCTCACCCACCCACCTTCTGCCAGAGGGGGGCTCCGCTCTGTTTACATACTGGGCTTTCTTTTAAGGAAAGGGCCAAGGCTGAAAAACCTTGAAAATCACTTCCGTCTACCGCCTGGCTGTCAATTCTATTTGGGGCCCACCAGCTCCCTCCTGCCTGCAGGTCATCTGCGCCCCGGTCACTCAAACACAGCTTCCTTCCCTTACCTGCGCGGGCCCACTGCTGTCTCCTATCTGAAGTCTTGCCTTTTCTCTTCCTCTCAGGGAGGTCAGAAATGAGCACCTTTCCTTACAGGCGTGTAGCCTTGTCCCATAAACCTCAGTGACAAGGATGATGGGGTGATGACAGCACCGACACAAGACCACCACGCGCCAGGTTCCGGTCTATTCTGAGCATTTGACACAGGTTTTAACTCACGCGGCCCTCGCCACAACTCCAGCAGGCAGGTACAACTACCTGTTCCCATTTTACAGAGGTTAGGTAACTTGTCTGGAGTCACTCAGCTAGCGAGCGGTGCAGTGGAATTCAAGTCCAGGCAGTCTGGCTCCATCCACTCCACTAAGCCTCATCCGCCAACAGCTTCAGTGGGAGAGACATTCTTGGATCATTTGGTCACACTGTCCAGGCCACAGATTCATCAGACACTGGCCCACGGGTTCCCTGAGAGCAAGAGCCAGCCCTGGGCTGCTCAGTAAAGACTCGGACTGTTGACCAGAGAAACCACAGACACCTGTCAATTGATGTGGCCTTGGCACGGGGTCTGACAGCTGGGCTGTGGGACAGGCCTCAGGGTGGGCAGCAGCCAGGCCAGAGTAGGAAGAGGGCACTCGGCCCCGATCGAAGAGCAGTGCCCTGGATGGAGGCTGCACGTCCTCCTTCCCCTGCACACCCAGCACTCCTGAGCTCCCCGAGCAGGCAGGGCGTTGGCAGGGTGGTCACACAAGCCCCGCAGGTCAGAGCCTGGGCTGGAAACGGAATTTAGTTCCTCTGTTGTCACCTCTCAAGGAGCTGGCCGTCCTGGTAGGCATGAACTTTCGCCCCCTCTCCCAGCCCCGTCCTTGCCCCAGCTGTTGTTTTCTGTCTGAGGCTGGGTTCCTTTGCTCCCCTGTGGCTGTGGTTTGGGGCCAGGCCAGCCGGGGATGGTGAACATTGAGCCGCTTTGGAGCACAGCAGGAGCTGTGGGCAGCCCAGCCTTGCAGGAGAGCCACCAGCACCGGGTCCCTGTACTTCTCTTGCCTGGCAGACCCAAACCCTTGCCCCCAGGAGCAGCCCTGACGCCGTCCCTAAAAAGGCACCATCCTTGAAAGGACACACACCTTCCAGGGGGCCTCCCGGGCCCCGCCGCTCCCTCCCACCTGCAGCCCCCAGCAGGCAGCTCCACGGCTGCCATTCTCCATATGGCCAACAGCTGGCCTTGCAGAGCGCCTGCCAGATGTGGCCGCGGGGCTGGCGGCTGTCTCCACCGGGCAGAGGTCACCGCGTCGGAGCAGTGCTCGGGGCTGGTGTCCAGGGGAGGAAAATGTTTGGCGGATCTGGGGGCAGCGTGCCCAGATAATCCTCCATCTCCTCTCCCCTGTCCAACATTCCTTCCCTCCCGGCCTCAGTGGGGTGGTGTTTTCATAACAGGAAAAATAAAATCAATAAGGCACTGCAGCACGATGTTAGTGTGCTCGGAGCCGGCCTCCAATAGCTCCATTGTCTCGGCCTGCACGGCTCTGTGGCCGGCAGCACTCACAGTTATTAATGGGAAGCAGGCCTGAAAGGGAGTTTTGAAAATCACAGAGACAAAGGCGCAGCACACCTGGAGCGCGTCCTTCCAACACCACGGCCGCCTTACAATGGCCGGGCCGGGACTCCCCGCCTTTAACTTCTCTGGCAACTTTTATGAAAGCAGGGAAAGAAAAGACCAGACACACACACGCTCACACGCGCACATACACACGCACACGCATGCAGGCCTGGAAGGGCTCCCGGGAGGCGGCTCTGAATGGCTGGCCGAGGCGAAGGCGGCCTGCGGAGCCCCCGTGCGGGTGAGCCAGTGGGGTGGGGTGACTGGGCTTCCCGCCACGGCCGAGGGCCTGTCCCTGCAGGCTCAGGCTGCCGGAGGGGCTCTGAGCAGCCAGCTCGAGGGGGACCAGCTATGCCTCAGGCCAGGCAAGAGCCTTGGTGACATGCATTTCCACATTCCATTCAGCAACACAGACCGGCGGCTGCTGCCATTGCCAAGGCTGGAGCCGCCTCTTCCAGAAGAGACACGATGACCGGGAGCTGACACCCCTGGGGCCGGCGGCGGGGATGAGTCCTGGACCCTCACCCTCAGACCAGCTCTTACAAACCTGGTGGCCTCCGTAGCGGGTAAGGCGGGATGATAAAAGTGATGGCCTCGCATGTCGTGGTGAGCTCAGAGGAGACAAAGGATGCAAGAGTACCTGGCCCGTGGTTCATGAATGGTAGGGTCAGTACCCTCTTGCAAACCCAAGTCACTGGTGCCCCCAGGGGCACTTGCTCCGTCTCAGTTTTACAGGTGACCGATTTCGGACACCTGTATTGCCACTTTGGAATCCCACTGTTACTTCCCTCGTTATATAGCATTTAATCCACATGGTATAGGATAATGAGTGGCCTTGGCACCTACTTGTCTTCCGGCAAGTTAGTGACAGAGAGAGACTTTATGGAAAGTAAAACCCATGGCAACACTCAAAAATGGTTGTCCGGTCCCAGCTCCGGGGAAGCCAAGACTCTGGAGGATGCAGAGTGTGGCTGCCTGCCTCTGTAGGAGCCACCGGGGCTGGCCTGGACTGCAGGGAGGCAGGGCCCCTTGCCCGGCTCCTGCTCGGGGAGGACGCAGGTCTTACCTTGGTGGTGACTGCAGAGGCAGAGCTGGCCACAAGGCTGGTGATGGCCTCGCTGCTGCCGGTGGTGCAGGGAGCGGGGGCCGTGGCAGGCGTGGGCAGCCGGGAGGGCACCACGGGCAGCGGCAGGAGGCCAGGCCGGGCGCTGAGGCTGCTGGCTGTGCCACCGCCAGCCCCCGAGGTGACACTGCAGATGCTGGTGGTCCCATGCGTCCCGTTGACGCTCCACTCTCGGCGGTCCCAGCCCACCCGGTAATCTCTTTCGAAGCGGCTGTGGTGCCGGGACATCTCGGTGGGCCGAGGCGGCTTCTCGCAGGGAATCAGAGGCCGGACCTGCTGGCATAGAACAGAAAGGAGGGCGATTTAGACAAACCATGGCCCCGCCGGGTGCAAGCAGGCAGCGGCAACTGGCAGCAGCCGTCAGGCCCCTTCTCTGGGTCCAATCACCGGCTTTCGAATGTGAGCTCATTTCAGAGTCGCAGCAAGCCCACGGTGCGTGGATTAGCCCCACTTCACAGACAAGAAATGAGTGACTTTTCCAGGGTCACGTGCAAAGTGGAGCAGGCAGGATTTGAACCCAGTCACAGTTTAAAGTGATGCTTTTGTTTGGCCACATCACACTGCCCTGGGTGACACGGAGGACAGATGTGCACATTTTAATTATGGTTGGGATTTTTCCCCTCCCAGCCCCACTGTGAAAAAAGACCCTGTGGATGCCTCAGACCAGGGGTCCTCAAACTACGGCCCGAGGGCCACATGCGGCCCGCCGAGGACATTTATCCAGCCCGCTGGGTGTTTTTGCTGCGGCTGCCTGTCCTGCTTAGCAGCTGACTCGTCCCGGGCCCACAGCGCGCATGTGTGGAGTGTGCGCCGCATCCTCCAACGGTCTGAGGGACAGTGAACCGGCCCCTTGTTTAAAAAGTTTGAGGACCCCTGCCTCAGACCGTGTTTTCCTCAACCATGAGATAGGGCAACACCACCCACATCTGCAGACTCACTTTCTAGTAGACAGAGCCTTCACGTAATCTCACATCCGCTTGCAGTAGCCTGGGAGGTGGCAGGGCGCGACTGCCCCGGCTTACGGACGAGGAAACTCACTGAGCAGAAGTGCTCCCCCGAGGTCAGAGAACTGCAAGTGATCGAGAGGCCAGGACCTCCACCTTCAGACCCGGACCAAAAGCGGACGCAAGTCTGGGAAGGTGTCAGCCTCCAGGAGTTGAGTTCCCCTTCACAGCCCTATGCTTAGGTCGCGGGCACCAGAGACCCCGCGAGCACCCTGGCCTCTGTTAAGCAGACCAGCTCCCGCGCGGCTTTGCTGTGTCTCCAAACAGAAGGCCCTTCAGGGTTGTCATGGAGACCCAGACACACCATGATGTTCGGAAGGGCCTTCTGAATCACCGAAGATTGCATTTTGCTCAGCATTACCATGACTTGCCTGGCTGCCTGCCCGGCCCAGCCCAGGGTTACCCTCGGTCAGGAAGGTTGTAGAGATGTCGCAGAGAGGCAGAGACAGAGGGCAGAGGCTGTGGCCAGGGCACAGGTGGGTGGGTTAGGGTGGGGTCTGCCCTGCCCTTCGCGCCCAGAGCCCTGGCCACGGCTCAGGCACAACTTTATTTCCTTTGACTCTTTTCCATTCTCCAACTGCCTCCAGTCTGGGGTGTGAGCTCCTGGAGGCCCCGGCTCCTCTTCCTATCCCACCAAGTCCTACTCAGCCCTGAGGACAGGCTCTGACTGCTGGCCAGTGGATGGACAGGTCACTTTATTTTTAAACTATCTATAAAGCCTGATCCTACTCTGGCTTTTGCATCCAGACCTAGTTGCCAACTTTCAGTGTCATGGAGCCAGAGCCTGTGCCTGACCCAAGCAACCTGTTACCCATGTTCTATTTTGCAGGTGGCTTGTGCCCTGGTGGCCACTGTCCCCTCTGCCAGGACTTGGAGGAGACCTGAGCCCAACCAGCAGCCCGGGCTGAGCCTGCAGGCCCCCCAAAGCAGAACTGCAACCTCTTCAGTTGGATGTGGCTTCACCGCTTATTTCATCATCCCCCTTCCTGGCTTATATAATGTCACAAACATTCTGTTTAAAAATCATCTATTCAACATTACATGGTTACTGTCAAAAACAAAAAATTAAAATCAGTTCCCTCTTTGATCGCCTCTGTAAACTTTTTTGACCAAGGTTCTTGAGTCTCTGAACTTGGCTCCAGGTTTCCTCCTCCTGGTCGCTCTGTCACCTGGTCTGATGTGCCTTTTGGTTCAGCCACTCCATGAATGACCTGTTTGTTAAATCTCATGGGCTGTATATGCCTTTGTCCTTCTTGACTTCCCTCTCTTCTGGAACCCTCCTCGGGGTCCTGTGGCTCCACCCTTGCTCCCAGCCTTCCTCCTACCTCTCTGCTACCCATGCTCAGCCTCCTTTGCAAAAGCTGGGCTCTGTGGTTCCATGTTCCCTCCTAGACCTCTCTCCTGATGCATGGTCCTCGGGTGGGCACCCTGGGTGGTCTGGTCATTATCCCTTCCTGATGTCACCCAGGGTACATTGCTAGCTCTTCTAAGCACCCCCCACCACCTGCAGCCTGCTACACAAGCCTTCACCTGGCTGCTCCCTAGATACCTAAATGCCTGCATGTCCCTCAACTCCTCGTTCTTCTGTACAAACACTCCTTCCCAGGAATTCCCTCTCTCAGAGGAAGCCACCTCTATGTCCCCATCCCCACTCCCCTATTCCACAGCGAGGCACCAGATCCCTCTGCCCCTTCTCCATCTGTAGCCTCGACCTCAAGTGACGTCTCCCACGTGGCATTTAACTAGTCTGCCTGCCCCCAACCTCGCCCTTCTCACTTATTCTCCACCCAGCTGCCCATATGATTTTCTTTTTAAAGCACAAATCTGATCTCGATCCTTCACTTTCCTGCTTTAAACCCTATCCTTCAGAATAAGGTTCGGACTCTTTCAGGTGGCCCAGCAGGGTCTGGGCTGGCTCATTTTTCCAGCGTCCCCTCTCACTTGTCCTGTCCCAGAGGTGGTGCCTGGCTGTTCCCGATGCCTTATGGCTGCTGAAGGCCTCACATCCTCTCTCAGGTCGGGGCCCAAGCTCACACCGCCCATTTGCCGGAACGGTCTCCGACCCCCTCCTGGCTAAGGCACCGAGTCTGCTAGGAGGCTGCACAGACCCGCCCCCTCTGGGTGAGGCGACAGAGGCCCGAGCATCCTGCACCCACCACCGTCCCAGCATCCACGGCTGCCGTCTGTCTCCCAACTTGAAAACGGGGCCAGCGTCCCCATTATTTTGTAACCCCAGCACCCAGCACGGTGTCTGGCATAGAAGGGTGTTCACTTCATGCGTGCTGAATGGATGAACAAATGCTTATTTTTTCTTAATTGCTGAACGTTTCTAGAAAAAACAAACACATTTGTGTGAAGAGAAAAATCTCCAACATAGAAACCTTGAGTCTTCTAACTGGAAATCCCATGTAGGCGCTGGAGAGGGCTCAGCAATGCAGCACACAGTGCTGGAATTATACCAATAAAATCCTTGCGGAGGCTACAGGGGATGAGATGCAAAGTCCGAGGGAGGGATTGGCCTTTGACAGTGGCGGGGCACTGTTTGCTGTCAGTGGTAGAGAGAGCGGAGAGCAGGGTATAGTTGCAGATAGTTTGGGAGATTCGCTGGGAATGGTAAGAAAATGTCCTACCTTCCTAGTAAATCAGACCTTGAGCCTCCAAGGACAGCTTGAAAGGAGAATTCCCACATGTCCAGGGGCAGCTGGACCTCACAGCTTAGAAGACTGGAGTTTCTCAAGGTTCACCTGCCAAGGCAGGGCTATCGCTAATTATCACTGCCTCAGGGAACACCGTGACCCTAGGTAGGACCCTAAATGCAGCAGAGATGACATTGTATATTCACCATACTGGGCCCTCTTTCTGAGCACACAGGCGAGCTCTCACAGCCGCCGTTGCAGCTAGCTTGGGATCCTGTGTCTGGACTCTGCAGATAGGACGGGTGGGCAGGGGATGGGCACGGCCTCCAGCCTGGCCCTTTCCAAACACCTTCTATGAACCTCAGTTCCCTTTGCTGCCACGGCAACTGCGGAGACCTCATCTCCTAGATGGAAGAGGGTTTCCCTACCCGCCTTGGACTCTGCACGACTGGGACATCAGTCTTAGTTGTGATAAGGCACTGCGATCGGCAGTCTATTTGTTACCTGCCCACAGCCTCGCCTGGCCTGACTGATACAATAAATCAGCCCCGACATTACTGCAGAACAACACAACCTCACACATCGTCAAAGGAATCATCTCTTTCCAGCTGGTGAGGACAGCAGGCATTGAGGGTGGCTGGCAACCGTGCACCCCTGAGACACGCCAAGGGGGACCGAGCATGCTTGGGAACAGGTCAGAGGGGCTCTCCTGGGCTGCCTGCGAAACCTCTCGGTGGGTCGCTACCTCGGGGACCCTCTGCTGGGCCACACCACGCCCCATCTTGATCACAGCTCCTGTGCTTTGCAGCGCCCTGCACCGCCACCGCCACCCCCATGCCCCCAGCCTGCAGCTCGGCCCTTCCAGTCTCCTTAAAATGCCAGGGAGGAGATGGAGACCTGGCGCCGGAGCTGCACAATCTGGTTGCAGCCTCCTTGTGTGCATTCAAAACAAAGGTCAACTGTTTGCACGCCAGCCTCCTTCGGGTGAGACTCCATTCCTCGATTTAATTTTCCCTTTCAAACAGAACGAAAGGAAGGTGTTGCACAGTTCACCCTGAGTGAGGCGGCGGCACAGCGCCAGCGCCAGCGGCGGCAACTTCAGTACTTCCTGCTGGGCACCGCGCCAGCGTGCAGAAGGTCCCGTGTGCGCACACGTGTGCGTGCCCGGGGTGGCGCTGGGGGAGGTGCTCGTGGCGGCGGAACGAGGCCCTGAATGGACGAGTGCCACCACAGAGGAGACCGGCCAGGCAATCGCAGACAAAACAGGCGGAAATGTTTCCTTGTCGAGGTGAGCACCGTTCCTGGCCGGCTGCCTGCGAATGGCCGAGCCTGGCCTGGGGCCCTGCGCCAAGGGGGGTTCCGGGCAGCAGCCTCTCCTGTGCGGGAGCGGACCACTTATGAGGGCACTAGGACTGGTCCCCGGGTGGGGCTAGTGTCTTGCCAGCACCGGTTTAAATCACACGAACACGTGTGAAGAAAAGCCCTGGCGTCCACAAGATCCTGCATTTGTGGGTGGAGGCAGGTGACCCTCAGGTGCAGGTTAGGGTTAGACCTGAAAGGCTCCCAGAGGTGGCGTCTCACCTGCAGGACATGGCTCTGGCCCTCGGGCTCCTGTGTGTAGCAAAGCTGCTTCTCC